CGTCTCTTTTCCCTGAATATTATCCGGATGAAGCGCATTCATTGTTTTATTTGGAATCTTATGATGAAAACCCTTCATTTAAACTCAGAACGAATAAGATTCAGTCATCATATTCTGACGTTGGGCCGCATGGTGAACGTTGCTCTTCAGAGGAACAAGATTTGGAACCATTGCTGGTTGATCATGATGGAGACGGCCAACCTGAACCGAGCGAGCGTGAGGGAAGTTCAGTAGAACGTTCAGAGAATGAAGAGCGACCTGTGGAAACCACGGAACCGTGGGAGGAAGCTGTATTGGACGTCTTCCTACCGAATGCGAGTCCGCAAACTGATGGAGATGATGTTGATCGGGGGTTTGTCCTGAATAAGATGAACGGCAGGAATCTGCAGATATTGAGGAGACTGGGGCTGATGCTCACTCAGTAACTGAGAGCGAAGTTAGTGAGGATAATGCTATTACGAAATATTTCCATCAATTGCAGCTACACCAGGACCGAGCCTCGTGTCTTGTCTTACGTTCGAATTTGTTCCGCTGGGGCATTGATTGCGATAAACCTGTCATATTTCTACCCTTGGTGTGTTTTTATTTCTCTTCATGCATATTTATTGTTTTAATAACCTTATCGTCACTGAAGAAAACAGTGAAACTACTAGTTTTAGCAATACAGATTCTCCGTGTCCACCTCGGCGACCCTCGCAAATTTTCCGAAACTGTATCACATGTGTTTCCGAATGTTGCATGCTGACATTCCAGTCCCTCGCTATGAGCGATGTATTGCATTTTGTCATCCTGTTTACTTCATCTTGTACTTGGTTATAAAAGCTGTGTGATGTGTGAAGTGTGGTTGCAGGACTGGGTCTTCCCAGCCTATAACCTCTATTTGGGGAAGTAGAAGAAGCAGATGAATTTAGCTAATTGGGCAGTTATATCTCATTTGGCAAACACATCACGGATGAAGTGTCGGCACGCATGCAGAAGGCTTGATTGGCATTTTCCAATTTGATATATTTATGGCGTCATCGCGAAATCCGACTGTCTGTGAAGGGCCGAGTATATGCTGCAACAGTTCGGCCAGTCCTGCTCTACGGACCAGAGACTTAGCCATTACGGGTACCGGATAAAAATAAATTGTCGGTGTTCGAACACTGCTGTCTACGCCGCATTGCACGAATCTGATGGGGTAACCGGACGAGCAATACTGAGGTTAGGCGCAGAGTTTTAGGTAATCGCGTCGCTCACTGGTGCAAGTAGTCGAACTCCATAGATTACGTTAGTTGCATGCCTCTATGACCCTGCAAGCCATACAGAATGGCTCCTCACAGCCGCAGATCCAATTATACCTGGAAAGTTCATGGGTAGAGGCCAGACGAAAACCAGTCCCACAAGGCCAGATGCTTGGGCATCTCCTGGCTTCTCTTGACTATTCACTCCAGTCCCTGGAGAGGTTACACCAGCAAAAAAAGAAGATAAAAGACAGTGTACCGGTCAAACAAAACCCCATTAGATAGATATTCTGAGCGTGGTACCTGGGCCTTCCTCCTGACGGTGGGAGAAGTCTTCGCCCAAACTTGGCAGCTTCCAACCAATAAGGTGCTTTCCCGTCCAAGTTGCGCTTGTCTCATTGGGTGCATGAGACTAAAGACCAATCACGAACAGCGGACCGACAGCCAACGCACCAGTGAACGGAACACTGAACCGAATAGCAAACGTCTTGCGTGACAAGTCTTCAGAAGCTCCCACAAGGGCGCTTCATTCACACTGCCGCGTTGTTTTTACGCCTCACTACCTTGTGGGTCAGACTTTTGAGGCAAAGGCCCCGGTTAGGGTTCCCAACGATAAACCCCTTTGTCGGTGTATGCAACTGCGAAGTATACCGTGCCCCTAAGTTCTAGGTACCCATTTGGAGAACCATCTTTCTGAACGTTGCACTTCCTCATCTCGCTTCCAAACTTTAGGAGATAAATCCTGTTTACGCCACCGATGAGATATCACTCCGCGTTCAACTAATGAGGTCCACCAGTCAGAGGCTATCGGATTTTTGAAGCCCAAATTCCCTTTCCATTTGGCCACATTTAATGTCCGCAACGAGCCGCCTTAGCTAGAACCCTAGAAACCTTCCATTTAAATGTATGCTGTGTCTCCGAGACACGCATACAAGACACTGCTTCAATCATCTCCCTGCGTTCTGCAGATCCAACCTTATCCTCACGCTTCACTCTCCGTATGTCCATCGATTCGGCATCCGAAGCTCGCGGTGTTGCTGGTGTTGGGATTGCGCTGAGTGTCAAGTCCGAGCGTTCACTTCCTGACTGGATCCCGATTAGCAGCCGAATTTGCACTGTACGTCTGGATGGTTCAGTACGGATCAGCAGCTACAGAACGAAGCGTCAATGCTCATTCCTCGTATCCGTTTGTGCACCGACTGATTGCAGTTCGCCAGAAATGAAGGATAAATTCTACAAGGACCTTTGTCAATTGCTCCAAAGCGCTCGATCAACGGACATCATGGTGATCGCTGGATACTTCAATGCTGAAGTGGGATCCCTGGATGAATCAGAGAGGTTACTTGGTGGTCCACCTGCAATCCCAGCTAATCGGACTGATAACGTAGAACGCCTACTCTAACGCTGCGCTGACCACGGACTGTTTCTGTCAAGCACAAACTTCTCGCACAAGAAACGACCCCACCTTACATGGAGACCGCCAACCGCTTCACAGCGCTGGACCCAAATCGACCAGATCACCTCCAGCCATCGCTGGCGAAGATCAATTAGACTGACGCTCCTACTATCCAGAATCTATTAAAATGGATCGCAACAGGCCCCAACGGAACGGTGTGAATCGGTGATCATACCGATTGACAAGAAGGGTGACCTGTCTTCTGGTGAAAACTAAAGTGGATTTTATTTAATCAACGTTGCCTCGCCGGCATCATAATCCGTCGGTTGTCTGCCGCACGTGAAGAGTGCACACGTGCGAACCAGGCTGATTTTAGACCTGGTCGAGGTTGGATCGACCACATCTCAACTCTTCGTCAAATTCTAGAACACTGACACTCCTTTCGTAGACCCACCATTTCTATCTTCCTCGATCTGAAAGCGGCTTTCGACTCGATCAACCGCTCTAAACTCTGGCGCTGCGTCGCTTTAAAGGGTGTGCCGGATAAGTTTATTTCAATATTACAATATCTCTGCAATAATAGCCGAAGTTGAGTCCCAGCTTACGGCACGTTTTCACCCGAGTTCACTACAGAAAGTGGTGTTCATCAGGGTTACCATCTCTGTCCGTTTCCATTCAACTTTGTGATAGATTTAATTCTTGAAACAATCTTATCTTTGTGCGAGGATAGTGGTATCGATTTAGTCCCGGGTGGCAGATTGTTTGATCTAGAGTATACGGACGATATTTTACTACTAAATGAAGATCCTGGTAAGTTGCAAATTTTATGGATGGTTTGAGTGCTCGTGTAGCCATGTTCGGTATGCGTTTTACACCTTCAAAATGTAAAATGTTCCTACAAGATTGGGTTGGTCCAGTCCCCAGCCTCACACTGACTGGGGAAGTAGTAGAGGAAGTAGAAAAATTTAGCTATATGTCACCGGGCGGACGAATCACAGATGAATGGTCGGCGCTTATGCAAAAGGCTCAGTTGACATTCCCAAACTTGAGACATCTGTGGCCGTCGCGAAATCCTTCTCTCTGGGAAGGATCAAGTATACGCTGCGGTTCGTTCAGTGCTGCGTCACGAAGGAGAGACTTGGCCACTACGGGAACAGGATAAAAATAAATTGTCGAACACCGCTGTCTACTTACCTACCTATGGTCTTGGAAAACTGAGGCCGAATTTGACTGTGAGAAAACCGAAGTTATACGCGATTTCAGCTATCTTTGCACACCTTGAATTGCTGATTCCTATATTTAGTTCCCCTCTATCCGAAAGAGAATAAATGTGCCTCAGGACCATGTATTGCAACGTCTTGTACGTTTGTACGCTACGCAGATGGGGAAATGGACGAAAGACATGCACAGAAAAAAGCATACAAGACCCGGAACTTCACTTTTGATTTCCAATGATCTAGTCTTAGATAAGCATAAGTTGGCTTAGTGGGTATCTAGTGTTGATCATTCATGCACCGTATTCCGACGCTAGATTATATAGTTTGACGTGTATACCTCCGTGGGTTACAGTGGTAGTAGACCTAAATAGTCTGCGTACCTAAACTTCGTAAATGCACGTCTTCAGAGGGTCACATCTGCAAAATCTACGTTCGGTGGGAGTTTGAAACAATAATAAGTTGGTATTTTCATCTGCGGTCATCTAAGAGTTTGTCTGCATCAGTAAAGATGTCAGTGTTGTGGAGTGGTGAACAGACTCTGTGTGCTGTCACATCGTTGGTCAAGGTCGCTCCTGGAAACCTGACCTTATGATCTAAGTTATGCCATATGACTCAGACCCCAATAATCAGATTTCTCATCCACGTGGTGTCTGAAATTCCTGATGATCATGTGTCCTAGCAGGTTGAGAGAATGGCATGAATGACGGTCCTGTCGATGTGTGGTTTAGTTCAACTGTTTTCTTCCTCAGCGGAGTCCCATTGACCGTTGGAGTTGCGAGAAGAGTGTCTGTGGTCTCGAGAACTTTGCATATGATGAATACCATTTGTCAGATAACTAGGATAGATGAAACTCATGAAGGCTAAGAAGATACATTATGCTGGGTTAACTCCACGATGATGAACTTCTGTCTTCCAGATACCTATGTATCCAATACTTGTACTTTCTAATTTAAAGAGATTGGTCTTTATCGTTCTAAGATTTTCGTGTTTGGTTATAACAAGCTGATGATTAGTTAATAATTAACGTTTTATGCATAACCTGTTCGTTCAAAGCAGTTCCATTTATATCGTTCTTTCCCCTTTCACTTCCCCGCTTGATGTTCACCAATTGAATGTCCTAATGCGGAACGATATTGCCAGTCCCTCTCCCCGTATTCACCGATCATGAATCGTGCAGTCGCGTTTGGTGATCATTCGCGAAAGATGGCAACTTGGTACAGTTTGGACTGGTATTCCGTTTCGGACGCGTTTCAGCTATCCGGTGGTAGCTCGCTGAATCCTCGAAATCATTTTCACTTGGCCCCAATCCTATTCAGCGTGTGCTATTTACATAACTGGTTGGCTTACCTTTCGCGCTTGGAACTGTACGGTTCGTGTCTGGGCTACTCACGCCCACTGAATGCGGGCGCATTGAACAGTATGGCTTCGACTTGTCTGACTCCAGCCAGTTTGGGTTGTGGTCAATGTGTTGCATTCGATGCTTGGCCGTTGTGGTTGTTGTGGCGTTTGAGTCGTGTATTGTGTCGTTTTGTGGCATTCTGTTTCGCTCGTCGTGTTTATTCGGGTGGTTCGGTAGGAGAGTCTGTTGTTGACAGTATCGCTCGTGTTCGTTTTCCGTTCAGTGATTTGGACGAGATCTGATTTGGTGATCCGTCTGTTTGTGCCTGGGCTGTGAATATTTTTTGTTCAGCTGATCTGTGATTCCTGTTTTGCACAGAGCACAGTGTAATCGTGAGACATTTTCTCGACCACTATGGCATTCGACGTGTTCTCATGGTCGGTCAGTGAGCGTTTGTGCGTTTTATTTTCTGCTCACGTTTCCCTTTCGAAGCGACCTTTCTCATGAGTTCTACCTAACTATACACTTTAGCAAGATTCCCTGATCGACATATTCGGCCTCTTTTATCTTCACTTTTTGCACTTACGGTCGCTTATCTGTTTTCTTCAATATTGAATTTTAAGACTTATTGTATTGGATGATGTTTTATCCTCTTTTGAATAAAACCTACTTTATGATATGGAGATGCGTTGTTTTGATTTGTTATTTGCATTGGTGGGCATGCACGAACGCGTATGTGTGTGTGTGTGTGTGTGTGTGTGTGATATGAGGTTGGTTCATATCTCTCGTCTGTCATGTCGTTCGCCTTCTGTGCCTTCTTGCGAGGTGCTCCACTGGTCGTTGATTCTACCCTTTGATTTACCTGAGAATGGTTGTCCTACTAGCTTCACATCTTCAATTACGTGGTAAGAATCAAAGATAATGCGTACACCCGATCGCGTTGAAGACGAAAATAATTTTTNGGACTTGGAGTGGCGAACCACATACTTCGCACTGAATCATTTTATTGCGATGCAGTGTGGGTGCAATCCGCAATAAATAAATCAAACATTATTGTTTTGTTCGATTAATTATTGTGCTATCTGAGTCTGAACATCTCGGAGTGGCTTGAGGAAACAGACGAAAAATTTGTTAATGTAATGTCATTAAATAGACGGAAAGTACTTAGATCTTCGATAACACAATACTTATTCAAACAACAATCAAAAATAATTCTTTTATTACATAACCTACTGTAATGAACAGTGGTAATCAGTGTTTACCATAGCCACCGGAAACGACTGTTCGTCTGTGGAAACTGGCGATCTTACCCATAGTTCTTTGGGTAGCGAACTATGTAATGCCGCAACGGAATCAGCGTAGTGTTAGCCCGGAAGACGGAAATTTCGGATGGCGATGACAAGGATACAGTTTTAGCTTGTGATCGGTATTCCATCAATAACCGCACCCCGAATCGCTTGAAGACTATCACCACTACACTATAACAATCGCTAATCGGCTGTGCTGTATCGTATGTGGACAAAATAGCAAACAGTCTGGTCAGCTACCTGATAGTCTATTGGATGGTGTGCTTACGGGTCATTAACCGGGTCGGTAGACCATTGGCAGTTCGCATAGGGGAATTGACTAAAATCCCTGATTTAAAAAAAACCAAGAAGAAGCATACGAACCTCACACTTTCCTGGTTGTGGTAATGGTCACCAGCTCAGTTGGTCACTTTAAGCACCTGGGATGTTTGGTCCCGTCCAAAGGTCATATGATCCGATGAACTGGATACCGGCCCCCAATGTACTGCAGACCCTGAGTTTTGTGCTGCGGTCTTGTAGGCCTGGCTCGCTGGCCAGAGGCTTCGGGTGGAGACCCCAAGGTTATCCTCCTTCTTCGGTTAGGGCACAGTGGAAGTTACATGCCCACACAAGCTAGGAACATTCTACCGATTATCCAATTTTGCTCTCTCACAAACAATGCCCTCTTTGACCGAGATATCGGCGGTCGGCTCCACAGTTTCTCACTTTATCGCGCCAACCGATCACATTCTTTGCTTTCCTCAATGGTCCAACTTACCCAGTCTCATTTTAGCACCCATTATTTCGAGTCTTCAACTGTTGCCGAAGACAACAGGAGAAGCTACAATCTTGTGTATATGCGAAACAAACAAGCACCCATTCAGATCGTTCGAGAAACTCGCATACCGGTCGCAGCTGAAGTTAGCTGCTTTCAACGTTCGAACACTTGCGCAAGGCAGCACTCCATCGGACATTGAAAATGCTAGCCATGAACTTTTCCTGCTTTACTGAGATTCGCCTACAGGATTTGAGCGCCGCACTGCACCACGTTTCATCGTCTCTGGATTTTACAAGCTCGTCCACTCTCTACCTCTCCGGAGGGTCAAACGCGGAAGTGACTGTTCATATTGGCGTCGGGATAGCACTGAGTGCACACGCAGAAGCAGTGTTACTCCACTAGATTCCAATCAATAGTCTACTCTGGATCTTCTGTCTAGAATGATCACTAAGAGCATCGTAGCGGGTTGAAGAAAGTTTGTCTGTTCGTCATTGTGGCACCCACAGACTGCCATCCTGATGCAACAAATGAGTTCTACCATTAGCTCACCAACCTCCCCCACAGCAGATGACATACTGACATTGTGATACTATCCGGCGACTTGAGCTCACAATTAGGTGGGGCAGACGCTGACGAAACCTTAATGACAACGGCGACCGTCTACCGCAAATCTGCGTTAACCATGATTTATTCCTTTTGTGCACCAATTTTACTGATAATGGATCCAACGTGCCACCTAGCGACCTCCATCACCTGATCATCTTTAGACTCAAATAGATCATATTAATGGAGAGATCACGTGTTGAACTGCAAATTCATCTACAGCACCTGTCACAGATCTGATGATGCACTCGTGTGCACGAAATTTCCTCTGTGCTTTGTTGGAAAACAGCCGCGTCGCCCATTAGGAATCGATTTGATAAAAATGACCGACCCAAATGTAGTTGCTGCCAACCGAAATACATAAGCTACTGATCTAGGCAGTCTATCATCCTCAAACGTTGATAGCCAGTGGGATCATATCCGTAACGCCACGTGTAAGTCTGCCAGCATAGCGCTTGGCTTAATGAAACGCACCATCCGGCAATGAATACAACACATTTTGTAGGACTCTCAGTGCTGAACTGAAACGGTTCTTCAAAGAGAAGGCCTCAGTATGGTCGGGCTCTGAAATGGCCATTTGTCCGAACTCCTTTAGAAATGCTCCCAAACGACCAGATAGGTTGCTATGGCGCACGATGTTTGCCGAGGCAGGTAATGGGTGGAAAAAAGCCAAGAGTGGTCAACCTAAGACCTGGCACGAAGGTATGAAATCCCTAACCAGGGGGCTGGGTTACATATGTCACGTTAGGCCCCCTGGATGGGGACCTTGGGATGATCGTAACCGACGGTTAGAGACACTAAGTGATGTGGTTGATTGTCGTAAAAAGTGGCTCTCGTGCATTTTCTCAATTTTTTTGCAACCCCAGACCACTGAAATTCTTGATTTTCTGTTCGCCTCTACTTTTAATCCTCCCGTCTTTATCCTATTCTTCATCTAAATGGCCAGCGAAAAGATAGCAACCAAAACCACCGCACGAAGTTGCATGGTTAATGGTTGTACAAACTGAACTGAACTGAACGATCATTCTCTTGGTTTTTCGTTTGTTTTCACTAGTATACTTAAGTAGAACCTCAACCTCCGCCGCCAGCACCATCCATGTATTTTGTCCCACTGTTTGTCTATCACTCATTTCTTTTTATCATACCTATCCTATTTATAATTAATGTGGCTTTCACTCCCATTAGTATGAGATGGACTCTTCTTCATGGTTTGCTTTCGCTACTATTCACAGAACTGTGTGCAGAAGAATTCGTTTAGATGTCAAAAACGGAGTTGCAGTCTATCTACAGTTTTTGAATTTTTGACCTAAGGTGCTCTTGGCTTATATTCATAAGGGACGTGATTTCTACTACCTCACCGATATCTTATCCAAAGTTGGTGAACTCTTGATTCTGTTTATCATATCGGTGTGCGATGAACTGCTGCCAAAGGAGATTTCGTAATTTTAACTCTAGTAGATGCAATGAAACACGAGTGTAAGGTGGATGGGTGATTGTCCCATTTGAAGCAGAAAGTATAATGCAAGCATTCCGTATTACTGTAGAAATGAAATTTTACAGCTCATAGATCGCATGGGCATCGTAAGCACCACGGATTTCGCACTTCTGTACCTGTTGCGCTTTGTGTGAAACCCATCTATCTTGTCTGTCAAGCTATTCAATGTTGGCGGGGACGGATTTTTTTCTCGGCCCTCAGCTCCCACCCCCCAGCCGAATCCAAAAGAAAATGCGCTTGTAGCACTTGCTGGGAAAGTGCTACATATTTTGATCTCTCAGAGGCAGTCTTCACTGAGTTGTGAATGCGAGAAGCCATTGACCGAGTCTTCAACGGTGTTGATGAGCCATCAGCAGCTATCTCACTTGTGGGAGATAAGAAACCGTTTTTCGGTGGTAGGTGGCTCTGTCGTCACCCGGTTCACTGCCACGCCTGATCTATTGAAGCCTTATGTGGTCCGCCGCTCCAAGCTTCAGGATCATGGTTGCCGGTTTCCTCACAACATAAACATGACAATACAAAATCACAAAAGCTCATTCATTATGTTATGTATGAACTGGCTACTAAAACCAATAGACATACGGTCACTGTCTGGATCGGACACCGTGGTTCATCCAGCCCCTGGTCGTAAAAGACCCGTCTGAAAAGCATATGATCAGACTGACAGGATAGCGGTCTGTAACGAATTTCGGACTTGAAACACCTTTCTGTAGCATCTCAAATCGAGATCGTAATCTGGTTTTAAATGCATCTTGATGTGGTCGTCATCATCGTACAGCGAATTACAGTGAAGCGAACTTCACTGACCGCTGCTAAACGTGTTACTCATGTCAGTAAATAGACTACCTCAGCGTACAATGTTTGCTGAGGCAAGTAATCGGTAGAAGGAAGTCCAAGGCAGACTATGATATCGCATCAGGGTATGAACATACTAACCAGGAGAGAGTCGCGTTAGACTTCTTAGATATGGACCTCGTAATCAGCGTAATCGATGGCTATGGAAGGTGAATGATATGACTGAGTGTCGTAACCAGTGGTGCTCATCGATCTACTCATTACCCTTGCAACCTTGGTCCACCTGAAGTATCTATTCCTAAGTTGAAACTCTTTTCAGCTCTCTGCACGACGGAGTCCGCTATA